AAACATCAAGGCCCCCCTCCCTCCCCAAGATTTTCGGCAAAAAAACACTTCCGAAAAACAGATTGTTTTGACAAAGAACGCGCACGCGAAAAAACAAGGTGTTCGGTCCAAAAAAAAGCACACAAAAAAAGGCATAAAAAGCATGTCCTTAATGACCGGCCAGATTAAAGGGCAGACCGATGCCATTGAGCTCACGGGACAAGTTCTCGAGGAGCAGGCGGGTCTGTACACGGTTTGCAGGGAAGGCGTAGATAGAGCAGATGACCAACTTCCGGACTTGACCTTGAAATTGAAGCGATGCCTGCTGCCACTTGCGAAGCAAAACCAAAATTGAGGAAAAGCGGCCTCGCTGGGACTGTGCAAAGGAGGCGCGCCCTCGATTTGCCGGCCTCAGGGGCTGAGAGATGGCGGCAATGAGCTGAAGCATTCGCGCGGCACATGTCTGACTTTCCCGTATTCATAGTAACACATCGGCCTGCCGCAGGCCCGGTGCCCGGCTGCAAAGTGTCCTGAGCTCTCATGAAGGCGTCGGACCTTCACCTCTCAGAGCTCGGGTCGCCACCTCCCAAATTCGCTAATTCAGGGTGCAAGGCCTCATGCTTTTTGACCTCCTCCAGTTTGCGAAGTCGTCTCTCAGTCATGGCCTTCTGTTTGCGCTCCGACACGCTGTGGCAACCACTTCTCAAGGCGATGGTCCGTAAGGAGATTACCGAGTATCACTGCGACAGCTTGGCATGTCCTGCTTGCTGATGGCCATGTCGCAAAAGGGGCAAGACCAAGCAACTTCCGAGCAAGGGTTGATTTTGAGACCAACTTCAGCTTACGCGCAAAGCGTCCCAAATTGCCTTGACATCCATGATGGGCACGGTTGTGCCTATATCTGGTGTCCGCAAGATTTGGATTCGGTCCGAAAAGGGCACCAGGGACAAGACCATTGGAGTTGTAGGATCAGGGCGAGGTCCAGGACGCGTGCGAGGAACCGGAGGCACATCTCCATCAACTTCCAAGTCCGTGATGTCACGCAATGTTTGAGTGGTCAGCGTTGATCGCTTCGATCTTCTTCAAGGGCTCTATTGGCTTTGACTGGCTGTGGGTTGGCTCAGAGCCCCGCCTGTTGCAAAGAGTCCGAATCTCAGCATTGGAGGTTCATACCAGTGCGAAACCTTTTGGCTAGATGAGCCCGGCGTTCTCTTCCGAGATGGGGCCTGCTGAGTGCCCGAAGCAAAATCAATCGGGTTCAGGGATGATGACGCTGATTGCGAAGCAAAGTCAGCAAGATCCAAGGACCGCGTAACGTTGACCCCGTATTAATCTGTAACGCACCCCCTTGAAGGTCAGAAGATTTTGCGGGGGGCCAGATTTTGAAGGGCTTTTGGCTCCCCCCTAAACAATCTGGAATTGAGTTTCCATGTGATTTAGTATTGCTGGAGCTTCCTTTTGAGATCTGGAATTGAGTTTCCAGTTGATTTAGTATTGCTGGAGCTTCCTTTTGAAATCTGGAATTGAGTTTCCATTTGATCGCTGGAGCTTCCTTTTTGAGATCGAATTGAATTTCCATTTGATTTAGTATTGCTGGTGCTTCTTTTCTGAGATCTGGAATTGGGTGCATGCTATGAATTGCAAGCATGTGAGTTGTCAATATGGATGACATTTTCAGCAATTTCTAAGAATAAGCTCGACAAGCAGTGGAGAAAGCAGCCATCTGGGGGCAGGGACCGGTTTAATTGGGGGGGGTTTTTTAGAACCCTATCTGAGCTATGTATTGTTTAGTATTGGGGGGGGGGTCACCCGGACCGGTTTAATAGGGGAGGGTTTATTAATACGGGGTCAACATTAGCGATAGAGGGCCTCGAGCGGGACTTTTTGGCAGGCTGCGTTAGGACATCGGAAGCAAAATCCTCAACGCAAGGGGTTCCGCCAAGGACCTACCTGCAAACCTGGTGCCCTCCTGGGTGGCTGCCCAGAAACGGTGGCATCAAGATACTCGTCATGCTGGGCCACCTATATCGAAGTATAGGCAAAGGGGCCGCGCAGTGCCACCGTGAGTATGCAGCTTGACCTCGCCCTCGTTGCTGAGGACGAAAAGTCACGAGCGAGTGGGCAACGGTCAGCTCCAGGTAGCAAGCCCAGGTGCCGCACAGCTTGACCTTTCCAATTAGGACCATCCGCCTTGAAGCTGGCTCCAGCTTTCATGCCATCCCATAGCGCCTGGTACTCCTCAAAGTGCTTCTCATACCACGCCGCCACGAAAGCTCTGAGAGACCTTCCGGACGCCTTCTTCTCAGAGCAAACTTGGTCATGCCTTCTGCAATTGCAAGTTGCTATTCTGCGACCGCTTTCTGGTATCCATGGTTTCTTTGTGTCATGGCCAGCGTTGGTAGACTTGCGCCTCTTTGCGTCTTCTACTTTGTCAGCTGCCTCCATATTGGCATCCCCGTCCTTGTCGGTGTCCTTGTCGGCAGGCTGGGTCACGGCATTGCTTTGTCGCTTGTTGTCCTTGCGGCTAATGGAGGCCACGGACTTGAAAGAAACAGCCACCTCGCCGCGAAGTTACCTAGTCTTGGACAAATCCTGGTGTCGCTTGGCCTCTTTCATGCTGATCAGCTCGAAGGTTCCCCCTGTAGCATCCTGCAGCGCTGGTTGGTGCAGCTCAGCATCATTAAGCTTCACAACCCAATCTGTAGGAAAGCTCTCCATGTAGAAGGACGGTCCCGTAGCCGGCATCTCCGTGAGGAATGCGAATACCAAGTTGCGATCTGCCCAGAATAGCACCTTGGCCTGCAAGCTTTCGGACCCGAGCGGCGTAAGCGGTGTCTCTCATCAGTGTTCCAGTCCATCCATAAAACCTTCGTGTGTAGTTCCTGGAGGTCGCCATGTACAAGCTCCACCATCCATCTCTGGCCTTGATCATTCATGGCACCTGAGGGCTGCATGCTGAGAGTGTACCCAAAGTAGTCCGCAAAGCTGGGCCTGCCGTGATAGGCCATCTCTCAACTCGAATTTGCAAGTGTCCCCGAGTTGCTTCGTCCGAGGCTCGTGGTTTAGTGCCCACCGACGCGCAGAAGCACCGGGGTTGGCCACCATCTTGGACCATTCGGAGAACAAATCCTGTCGATCCGGAATACCACCCTTGTCGACAGGTTGGAACTGTTTCACTGAAGCCGGGCTAATCACCTTTCGTGAGCCAAGGGGTTGGTGATTGCTGTAGCATTGGCTATAGCACTGACGAACCTGAATGGCCTTGCGGATGATGCCTGGAACCCAACCCTGATCATCTCGGGTCCTCGGGCCAGGGCACGTTGGTGGGGAGCAACAGTGACCCTAGCATTGCGTTCACCACATGCCAATCCACGGCATTCCTCGTAGTCTCGATGCTGTCTGCGAGTACGACAAATCCTTCATCTTTGAAGTCATCCAACACCTTCGCAAAATCCACCGCCCCACACACCATATGAAGCTTGCTGGTTTCCGCGCTGCCCCAATCAGCAAGCCGAGGCCTCCAAACGACGTTGCCCCAGTCATCCTTGTAGGGCTCCTGGTTCTTTGCGCGGTGTTGCCCCAGCCATTTCTGCGCCGGGTCGTGACGCCAGCTTCTCCAGGTCTGTCCCGAGGAGGGGTAGTCTTTCCATTGTCTCTGGCGCTTGTCATCCCAGGATGAGCTCCACGAAGAATTGGAAGCTTGTGCCCTGCTACGCTGCTCCTTCTCCGCTAGTTGTCGTCGAAGGCCGTTGAACAGGTCGAAACCTTTCTGCCGCCTGGCTCTTGCGAGCAAGTTCTCCAAGGCCATGATCAACGGCTCGGAGCCGTCCTTCGTATCCTCACTCTGAGACTTGTAGTTGCCGCAGAGTTGTTGCAAGCCGGCGAGTAGATCTGAAGAAGAGGATCCCCCGCCAGCCATGCGGTCGACCACAAAGTGCTGAGCACTGCGTGAAAAAGGATATTTTCGGCATGCCCAAAGGGAACGCTGCCGATCTCGTCCACATGGTCTTGATGAACATCACGTTGAGCACGGACACCACGATGAGCATGAAGTCCGGGCCATTTCAAGAGAGCACGGCGATATCGCCAGCCCCCATGCCGCAACCTGCACCTGAAAGGTCGATTCCAACGTCGCCTTCGACCTGCCACATGCACGGCAGTGAAAGCACAAATGCCCTTCAAATATTGATTCCAAATCTTCCAGCGATTTCCAGCGCACACCCCATGCTTTCTTCGCTTTCTTCGCATAGTCGACTTCATGCCATTCATCTCAAGGCAAATTCCAGCGCACACCCCACGCTTTCTTTGCATAGCCGACTTCCCACCATTTCTTCTCAAAGCGAGAGAGAACAAATACATGAGGGCAAATACGAAAATCATCACAAGGAACTTTCCCTTGAGGTGCAGTCCGGGATACCAGACTCGCTCAGTATCGGTGAAGGCAACGTAGGAAGGAGTGGTTCGGTTGCCCTGGTCGTTGGCAATGATCTCCACTCCGTCGTTCTTCCAAACACCCAAGCAAGAATAGGTCGTGCCGAGGTCAATCCCAATGGCAGTCTTCTTGGCCATGATGAATTACTAAATCTCAAGAGGCTAACTGGGCAAGCACCAATGACAACGACGGATTTTCCTGAGCCACATATCATATATCAATCTAGTGGTTGATACAAAGAGCCCAATCAAACAACGTCGTGCTGACAGACATGCAGGGCCGCTGGAAGTATGACCAATGACATTGGAGCGCCCTAGATTGTCAAAACCGTGAAACCGCTGAACAAAGCACCTCAATGCCATGTCTGCTCACAGAACCGGGCAAGAAACAACTTCAAAAAGCACGCTATGCCAATGCTATGCCAGTGCTTCATCAGGCAATTGCTTTCATGCAGTTTCCGATCATTCTGTTCCATGCACTGGTTTTTGCTGGGCATTGGCACAATTGCCAATTGCCCAAAGAAGATTGTTGGCCGTGAGCTTGGGTCCCACACCTACTCGAGCACTTTGTGCTTGACGCCTAGGTCGAATTAGTCCACCTCCTCGACGGTGGGGCCGCTGTTGCCGCCAGGAGCGCCACCCATGCCACCACCTGGCATGCCACCTTCTGGCATGTCACCGCCGCCGGCAGCCTGGTACACCTTCATCATGATGGGGTTCACAACGCCCTCCAGCTCCTTCTGCTTGGCCTCAAACTCGTCTTTCTCAGCCAACTGGTTCTTGTCCAGCCAGTCCAGGGTCTCTTGCACTGCAGACTCGATCTTCTCCTTATCACCGCCCTCGAACTTGTCCTTCAGCTTCTCCTCGTTCAAGGTGTTGCGCATGGTGAAGCAGTAATTCTCCAAGCCGTTCTTGGCCTCGATCTTCTGCTTGTTGGCCTGCAAACAATCCAGTGCACACCGCATTAACACTGAGAAGTCAATTCATCAAGACTTTCAAGTATCTTTAAGTAAATAGCTTTGTCTGTAGCCCAAACATGGCCTCATCCTCGGCACGGAACTTCTCTGCCTCTTGCACCATACGATCGATCTCCGACTGCGACAGCCGGCCCTTCTCATTGGTGATGGTGATCTGGTTGGACTTTCCAGTGGACTTGTCGGAGGCGCTCACGTTCAAGATTCCGTTGGCATCGATGTCATAGGTCACCTCAATCTGTGGCACACCTCGGGGAGCCGGAGGAATGCCATCCAGGTGGAACTTGCCTAGCAAATTGTTGTCCTTGGTCATGGCGCGCTCACCCTCGAACACTTGGATCAACACACCCGGCTGGTTGTCCGCGTAGGTCGTGAAGGTCTGCGCTTTCTTGGTCGGGATGGTTGTGTTGCGCTCAATCAACTTGGTCATCACACCACCTGCGGTCTCCAAGCCCATGGAGAGCGGCGTCACATCCAAAAGCAGGAGATCCTGCACTTGGGATGAGCCCTCGCCAGTCAGGATAGCAGCCTGCACCGCCGCGCCATATGCCACAGCCTCATCTGGGTTGATGGACCTGTTTGGCTCCTTGCCGTTGAAGAACTCCTGGATCATGGACTGCACCTTGGGGATGCGCGTGGAGCCACCCACCAGCACCACGTCGTGCACGCTCTTCTTGTCGATGCCTGAGTCCTTGAGGCACTTCTCCACAGGGCCCATGGAGTTACGGAAGTAGTCCATGCACAGCTCCTCAAAGCGTGCCCGAGACAAGGAGCAGCTGTAGTCAATGCCCTCAAAGAGGGAGTCAATCTCAATGGTGGCCTGCGTGGATGAGGACAGGGTCCTCTTGGCACGCTCACACTGCGTGCGCAGTCGGCGGATGGCTCGCTGGTTGCCCGCCAAGTCCTTTCCACGGTTCTTGCGCTTGAAGTCCTGCATGCAAAAGTCCACTACTCGATTGTCAAAATCCTCACCTCCCAAGTGAGTGTCTCCTGCAGTGGCCTTGACCTCAAAGATGCCATCCTCAATGGTCAGCAGCGACACATCGAAGGTGCCGCCACCCATGTCGTAGATGAGCACGTTCCTCTCACCGCTGCCCTTCTTGTCCAGGCCATATGCAATGGCCGCGGCAGTTGGCTCGTTGATGATGCGCAGCACATTCATGCCGGAAATCGTTCCAGCATCCTTGGTGGCTTGGCGCTGAGAATCGTTGAAGTAGGCCGGCACCGTGACGACTGCATCATTCACCTTGGTGCCCAAGTAGGCCTCGGCTGTCTCCTTCATCTTCAGCAGAATCATGGAGGAGATTTCCTCCGGATGATACCTGAGTCGACTTCAATCCACAGCCTGGGCTTCAACCAAAACAATATATGCGTGCCAGCCATCAATGAACAACCCTCGATCATGCAAGTTCCTAAGGTCCTAAACGACAACATATCTGTTCTTGCTCATGTCAGGGAACTTCTTCTCCTCGCCTTCCACCTTCACCACAATGATTGGCTTGTCGCCCTGACCTGCAATGCACTTGAATGGCCACAACTTGATGTCTGCCTGCACAATGGGGTCGGCAAACTTGCGGCCAATCAATCTTTTGGCATCAAAGACCGTGTTCTCAGGATTTCGGGCCACCTGATTCTTCGCTGCGTCCCCGATCAATCGCTCAGTATCGGTGAAGGCAACGTAGGAAGGAGTGGTTCGGTTGCCCTGGTCGTTGGCAATGATCTCCACTCCGTCGTTCTTCCAAACACCCACGCAAGAATAGGTCGTGCCGAGGTCAATCCCAATGGCGGTCTTCTTGGCCATGATGAATTGCTAAATCTCGAGAGGCTAACTGGGCAAGCACCAATGACAACGATGGATTTTCCTGAGCCACATATCATATATCAATCTAGTGGTTGATACAAAGAGCCCAATCAAACAACGTCGTGCTGGCAAACATGCAGGGCCGCTGGAAGTATGACCACGACATTGGAGCGCCCTAGATTGTCAAAACCGTGAAACCGCTGAACAAAGCACCTCAATGCCATGTCTGCTCACAGAACCGGGCAAGAACCAACTTCAACAAAGCACGCCATGCCAATGCTATGCCAGTGCTTCATCAGGCAATTGCTTTCATGCAGTTTCCGATCATTCTGTTCCATGCACAGGTTTTTGCTGGGCATTGGCACAATTGCCAATTGCCCAAAGAAAATTCGTGGTTGTGAGCTTAGGTCCCACACCTACTCGAGCACTTTGTGCTTGATGCCTAGGTCGAATTAGTCCACCTCCTCGACGGTGGGGCCGCTGTTGCCGCCAGGAGCGCCACCCATGCCACCACCTGGCATGCCACCTTCTGGCATGCCACCGCCGCCGGCAGCCTGGTACACCTTCATCATGATGGGGTTCACAACGCCCTCCAGCTCCTTCTGCTTGGCCTCAAACTCGTCCTTCTCAGCCAACTGGTTCTTGTCCAGCCAGTCCAGGGTCTCTTGCACTGCAGACTCGATCTTCTCCTTATCACCGCCCTCGAACTTGTCCTTCAGCTTCTCCTCGTTCAAGGTGTTGCGCATGGTGAAGCAGTAATTCTCCAAGCCGTTCTTGGCCTCGATCTTCTGCTTGTTGGCCTGCAGGCAATCCAGTGCACAGTGCACACCACATTAACACTGACAAGAGAATTCATCAAAACGCTTTAAGTATCTTTAAGTATTTAAGTAAGAAACACATAGTCATTCGGCAACCTGCTTGTCTGATGCATCAAGGTTTGAACATGCAAACAAGATAAGTACGCGTGATACGAATTGCACAGCATGATGGGTTCCGCGCCCACACACACACAAATGACAAACATGGGTAAGCTTGCTGGCAGCACAAGCCAAAATAGCTTTGGCTTTGTCTGTAGCCCAAACATGGCCTCATCCTCGGCACGGAACTTCTCTGCCTCTTGCACCATACGATCGATCTCCGACTGCGACAGCCGGCCCTTCTCATTGGTGATGGTGATCTGGTTGGACTTTCCAGTGGACTTGTCGGAGGCGCTCACGTTCAAGATTCCGTTGGCATCGATGTCATAGGTCACCTCAATCTGCGGCACACCCCGGGGAGCCGGAGGAATGCCATCCAGGTGGAACTTGCCTAGCAAATTGTTGTCCTTGGTCATGGCGCGCTCACCCTCGAACACTTGGATCAACACACCCGGCTGGTTGTCCGCGTAGGTCGTGAAGGTCTGCGCTTTCTTGGTCGGGATGGTTGTGTTGCGCTCAATCAACTTGGTCATCACACCACCTGCGGTCTCCAAGCCCATGGAGAGCGGCGTCACATCCAAAAGCAGGAGATCCTGCACTTGGGATGAGCCCTCGCCAGTCAGGATAGCAGCCTGCACCGCCGCGCCATATGCCACAGCCTCATCTGGGTTGATGGACCTGTTCGGCTCCTTGCCGTTGAAGAACTCCTGGATCATGGACTGCACCTTGGGGATGCGCGTGGAGCCACCCACCAGCACCACGTCGTGCACGCTCTTCTTGTCGATGCCTGAGTCCTTGAGGCACTTCTCCACAGGGCCCATGGAGTTGCGGAAGTAGTCCATGCACAGCTCCTCAAAGCGTGCCCGAGACAAGGAGCAGCTGTAGTCAATGCCCTCAAAGAGGGAGTCAATCTCAATGGTGGCCTGCGTGGATGAGGACAGGGTCCTCTTGGCACGCTCACACTGCGTGCGCAGTCGGCGGATGGCTCGCTGGTTGCCCGCCAAGTCCTTTCCACGGTTCTTGCGCTTGAAGTCCTGCATGCAAAAGTCCACCACTCGATTGTCAAAATCCTCACCTCCCAAGTGAGTGTCTCCTGCAGTGGCCTTGACCTCAAAGATGCCATCCTCAATGGTCAGCAGCGACACATCGAAGGTGCCGCCACCCATGTCGTAGATGAGCACGTTCCTCTCACCGCTGCCCTTCTTGTCCAGGCCATATGCAATGGCCGCGGCAGTTGGCTCGTTGATGATGCGCAGCACATTCATGCCGGAAATCGTTCCAGCATCCTTGGTGGCTTGGCGCTGAGAATCGTTGAAGTAGGCCGGCACCGTGACGACTGCATCATTCACCTTGGTGCCCAAGTAGGCCTCGGCTGTCTCCTTCATCTTCAGCAGAATCATGGAGGAGATTTCCTCCGGATGATACCTGAGTCGACTTCAATCCACAGCCTGGGCTTCAACCAAAACAATATATGCGTGCCAGCCATCAATGAACAACCCTCGATCATGCAAGTTCCTAAGGTCCTAAACGACAACATATCTGTTCTTGCTCATGTCAGGGAACTTCTTCTCCTCGCCTTCCACCTTCACCACAATGATTGGCTTGTCGCCCTGACCTGCAATGCACTTGAATGGCCACAACTTGATGTCTGCCTGCACAATGGGGTCGGCAAACTTGCGGCCAATCAATCTTTTGCATCAAAGACCGTGTTCTCAAGGATTTTTCGGCCACCTGATTCTTCGCTGCGTCCTCCGAACAATCGCTCAGAATCGGTGAAGGCAACGAGGAAGGAGTGGTTCTCGTCGCCCAGGACGTTGGCAATGAACCCACACGTCGTTCTTACCTTCCAAACACACACTGCAAGAATAGGTGTGCCGAGGTCAATCCCAATGGCGGTCTTCTTGGCCATGATGAATTGCTAAATCTCCAAAGGCTAAATGGGCAAGCACTAATGGCAACGATGGATTTGCCTGAGCCACATATCATATATCAATGTAGTGGTGTGATGATTGTAGTTTGTGCCAAGAATCCAATCAAACAACGTCGTGCTGGCAGACAAACAACTTTAACGCATGCTATGCCAATGCTACGCCAATGCTATGGGATGATATGCCAGTGGTTCATCAGGCAATAGCTTTCATGCAGTTTCCGATCATTCTGTTCCATGCACAGGTTTTTGCTGGGCGTTGGCACAATTGCCAATTGCCCAAAAAGAAACTTTAGTTGTGGGCTTGGTTCCCACACCTACTTCAGCATGTTGTGCTTGATGCCTAAGTCGAATTAGTCCACCTCCTCGACAGTCGGGCCGCTGTTGCCGCCAGGGGCGCCACCCATGCCACCGCCTGGCATGCCACCTTCTGGCATGCCACCGCCGCCGGCAGCCTGGTACCTAGGTCGAATTAGTCCACCTCCTCGACGGTGGGGCCGCTGTTGCCGCCAGGAGCGCCACCCATGCCACCACCTGGCATGCCACCTTCTGGCATGCCACCGCCGCCGGCAGCCTGGTACACCTTCATCATGATGGGGTTCACAACGCCCTC